AGTATAGTATAGTATAGTATAGTATAGTATAGTATAGTATAGTATAGTATAGTATAGTATAGTATAGTATAGTATAGTATAGTATAGTATAGTATAGTATAGTATAGTATAGTATAGTATAGTATAGTACAGTATAGTATAGTATAGTATAGAGACTTTATTTAAACAGGATGTACATAAACCTTTTCAGTGAAAAATACACTGCTATCAATAAGCTGGTCCTTTATTTAATTAAACAGGATTTACATAAACCTTTTCAGTGAAAAATACACTGCTATCAATAAGGGTCCTTGCAGTATATATATCTCACACGTGCATCTAGGTGGTCGTTACATGGTCAAGCCATGGTTTGCCGGTTTGTTAAATTTTCTGTTCAATCTAAGACCAAATTCATATTTCCCTGCTCCGTGTGCTCTTGTGGACGCTCAGCCACGAGTGCAATTTCCACCCAGTGAAGAAAAAGATCCTCGTGAAGGAAACGCAGCTGTGATCGATTTGCTAACCACATTACGAAAATTAGGACATGGCACTCCACCTACATATAGACCCATTGCACATGATGTCACAGCGCCGGTGACGATGCATCTGGTAAGCCAGGCTTTAACAGTCGAAACAAACTAATATAAGACAATTTACAATCGATGCAAAAGACAACTAACAACAACTTAAAATTCCGATCCATCAAGGGACCTATAGCCTTTTACATTGAACACACACAGATTTCCAAGTTCGCAAATCGTCACAATTATGGTATTGGATAGCGCGTTATTGTAAGACATCTTTAGTTGAAAGCATGCAGACCAATATCTCTATTACGGAGGTCATGCACTATTTGAAACGTTCTATATGTTTTACATGCTCTAATAAAATATGAAATCTGGTATGTTATAGTTTTAGCAAAGGGTATTACAAATCTATTTAAGTTGGTTTCACTCTGAGTCCAAACTATCCATGCTTGCATAGTTTTCACAAATTTTGCAGAATTTGCAGTTTTAATTAGCGGACATGTTCGAACGGTGCACACCCTGTTACCTGTAGTGTATGATCTGAACACACGAAATACAAAAACATAGCTGGTAGCATACATGCATGAATAATTTTGAGCTGCACTCTGTAAGTTGCCATTTCGAGCTGCATCATGCATGTCAGTGAGATACCCATGCAGACAGAGAAGCAAACATCAGAAAAAATTGAGATAAAACAACACAGAACCAAACAATTGCCATGCATATACAAAACATTGAGATAAACAGACAGGGAACTAATTAACAATTGAAAACATTGAGATGAACGGACAGAGAACCAAACAATATATACCGGTAGAAAACATTGGAATAAACAGACCGAGAACCAAACATTAAAAAAACATTGAGCCGATACTAGCCAGACCCTGCAGAGAACCAAACAATAGAAAACTTTGAGATAAACAGCCAGGCAATAGAAAACATTGAGATAAACAGACAGAGAACCAAACAATAGAAAACACTGAGAGAAACAGCCAGAGAATCAAACAATAGAAAACACTGAGATACACAGCCAGAAAATCAAACAGTAGAAAACAATGAGATAAACAGATATGACTTCCACTACCCATACCGCTCGGCTGATTGGTTAATCTCGTAGATAAAACGCATCTGATTGGTTATTGGCCACTTAATGGTAGAGGTAGCTGTAGTGGAAGTCAAACCTGAAACTCTTTAATTTTGTTGTCCTGACTCCATAAATCAGGTTGCAGCATGGTTAATGCTTGCAGTAGAAGATCACAGTAATTTCCCGATGTTATATGTCCTATAAACCTTATAGTAAGGTATGCAAATAATTCTGATGAAATTCTATCCGTGACGACTTTTGGAACATCGTTAATGAAGATATTAAACAAGCAGCAACAATGACAATGTAACAGGCGCGCTCATTGTGACACCACACCATCAACTATACGACTCTTTGACAACGGTCGTTCAAGTAAGCAGAGAACCAGTCTAAGAGTTTTCTCATCACTCCATAGCATTTTAATTTTTGAAGAAGAATTGAGTGGTCCAAAGAAGCTTATGCAAAGTCGAAGTATAATTAGATGTCGGTTTGGGTGTTCTTGTCATTTGAGCAGTTAATGACGGAATAGCGATTCCTTATAAATCCGTCGGTTGATCATGTGGAGTAATAAATGTAGGACATATATGTTGATAAGATTTGATATACAGTGGTGGAAATGTCGATCCATCAGTTGTGCAGAGAGTATACGCTAATTCAGTTTGCGCTCAGGCAAGCGCCTTCGAGACACTAGTCCAGGTAAACTGGGCGTCAGACACAAATTTTCAACAAATTTCCTAATCCTGGTCTAAAATGTAACCCGCTGTTTTGGTTTATGTATTTCTTCATGTTTGGCTGTTTCAAAACCTCTGAAAATAAAACTCCTATTGATCCAAACATGACTTCTGGTAAACTATGACTCCACGTTTATAAGCAAGCTGTTAGAGAGACAGCTTTGAAGCTTTCCGCTAACCCATGCAGGATTAAGCTATCCGACTTTCGAACAACCGGACCACGTCCAATCTAAAATTCTGCTTTATATACTTCGTGCTTCGCTTCAGCTTTAGTTTGTGAATAGTTTAAATTAAGTACAGTAGTCAGTACTATTCCTGAATTAAGTGAATTAACCTTGTTTTATATTCGGAATATTCGGAAGTACTCTTCTTAGGGGAGAAAATTAAACATTGATTCAACATGCTCCTGTTTAACACAAAATGCAAGGCCAAGGCCTTTTTAAATATTTTGAAATTATTATTATTAATACAATGTTAAGGCGGTTTTCCAGTCCTCGTACGAAGCTCCTCACAGCTCGCTGCGAGTGCATGCATGAGCACTTTCATCCAATCACAATGCAAAACAGTTAATTTTAATTAGATGCAAGCACTCGCAGCGAGCTGCGACGAACTTCGTGCGAGGACTGCATGGAAAACCGCCTTTAGTTATCTTACAGAATTTCAATTTACAATTGGGAAATATAATATAATCATCATCACAAGTTCTTTATATATACTCTTGCTTTAAAATATAGCTTCGTTCCGACACACTGCGATTAATTTGTCTTGCTGACATCATATTTTGCTTAATGTTAACGATAAATACTGTCAGTTGTTGATAGTTGGCAGAAGACATTGATGCGGATCTAAAATTGGCCCGATCAGACCCGTTTTCGTAAAAATATTGATAACGTACTGCACAGCAAAAATTAGATCTGTCAAAATAATACTGACAATGTACTGTAATCTGTAGTATGGAAGTACAGTTATTCACATTTATATTATATTTATAGGACTTATAGATTGTGTTTCACAGCTTCAAATCGGAAGCGTTAATATCCATTCCGTGCCAAATTAATGTTTATACTCAGTGTCTACTTCGTCGTTTCTAAGACTAAGTGAAGCCTATATGTTGCATGATTATTTTCACTCCATGGATTTAAGTTTTGTATGTTGCTTTGAAAAATTGCCATGTTTTGAGAGCTTTCGTGCCAGTCTTGTCGAACATATCCAAACTGGAATCCTCCAGATTTGTAGGCAGGAGATACTCGGGATAATACACAGTCAGCGATCGTTCAGGTTGCAGCTTGAGACCCAAAACATCAGCCCAGATGAAAGAATGAAGACTGATAATCACCAAATCAAGACTCATTCCCTTACCGAGAACGAAATTAATCAGACCACGTACGGACAAATCTCTACCTGTGTCAAATACGAAACGATTATCATCGTTGCCAAGGCTGTTAACTTCGCCGCTGTAAATAATACGCACGTGATTGAATCCAACTTTTGCGAACTTCTTCAAATATTTGTCCACCGTTCTTATGCAACAGTCGCTGTCGGGAAATGTGCCATGGAACATTTTCCTCGATTGTCTGTAGTAGGTTCTAACACTGTCCCGATCTTTTTTCCATATTTTTCTCGTATAGCGTCCAGAAATAGACCCGATGAAGATTGTTGGCAGACGTGCTTTATCTGGGGCAACAGGTCCTTCTTCTTCAGGAAGTATATCTCGTTTTGGTAATCTTGGTGTGACGCCATTTGTAGGGGCGCGAGCTGTCGATGGACGATCCATATTCTTTCTTCAGTGTGTACAAAATTGTGGCATTGTATCCAAGAAACGCATCCAGATGTGTGCACCTGTCACCGAGGCTCTGTTGCATAACATTAACGTGATATATAAACATTTAGCAGGTTGCTTTCGAAAGACGAAACGGAGATATTTTCAGCCACTAACATATACATATTCGTTGCCCATTCTAACTGAAATTTAATATCGATGAGAAAAAGGTTATGAAATAAATACAAAAGTGTTGATAACTCTGTCTGTGACAGCACAATAAACACTATTGTCTTAATTATGGACAATCATTTTCAAATGTTGTTGCGGGACAGTTGCGCGCAGTTTTAGATTAGGCAAAAAAATATGTGGGTTTCCGGTTTCCCGACCCTACCTAGCTTTTGGACGTCGAAATCCCGACCCTAAACTTTTTTTATTGGATCATGCTTGTAAGTGTTTCCACTTAGAAGAAAAAGTTTATGGAAAATTGAAATTTGAGGCAATATTAGGGAAATTTATCTTTGGATGTGGAAGCACTAACTAAACAAAATGGCGTCCGCTTAAAAAAAAAGTTAAAACCGACCTACCCTACCTAAGTTTTTATAAGAAGAAACCGGAAACCCACATATTTTTTTTTGCCTTATCAGTGATATGCAAATTCTTACAAATAGTTCAATTATTGATCTCCCTCCCTCTCCGCATTCAATTTTGTTTACGCAATCCATATATTATAGCACACCAAAGTAGGCTGCTAACTGAGACGGATTTTACTACATCCCGGGCGTTCTTTGTCAGTGCCCGCGATCACAATTAGAATTATCAGCGGTTGAGTTCGCAACTGAATATTCAAACATTTTCAACCAGATAAAAACAGATTATTAAAACTTTTTTAAAGCACTTTAGATTTTATACCGATCCCAAACACTAACCGGCCTAACTTTTAAGAGTTAAAAAAGGAAGGAAGAAAAAAGAAATCACAAAAACCTGAGAAAAAGAGCTAAATCAGATGATAAACGTTCGGCATCGATCCCGACCCTGACTGCGTTTCACTTTTAGCACGCAGCGCCTTTACCGCTTGAGCTAACGACAAACTTGGTGATGATTACCGCAAACAAAAGTTTTTATATTGCTACAAAATACGAAATAACTCCCGTCTGTCTAGTCACTTGGTTTTTTTTATTTGAGTTGCTATAAATGTTACTAGCTCATATAAGATCTGTGAAATTAGTGCTAAAACATAAACAGTATGTAAGTTTTGTCAAAAAATAAAAAGGCAATATGTCTGGATCAAATAAACTGTCTAGAAGCAAACTGATATCTTGAAATATAGATTAACATGCTGACAAACTGTTACAGTTTAACCAAGTTATAAATTCACATCGAGTATTATATAATTTATATTTGGCTTTTAAGATGTTTTCTTTCAAACATTATGATTTCAGGAAACACTCAATGTTATCATCATGTACCGCTGATAATACTAGTTGTGATCGCGGGCACTGACAAAGAACGCCCGGGATGTAGTAAAATCCAACTGGGACCCAACATTAAACAGGGGGCGGGAGGGATAAAAAAGTATAGGTAGTTGGGCCATCTGTCCCAACACATTTGAAATGTAGCTGCAAGTGACATTCAAAAGAGCATCAAATTTTCACTTCAAATAATTGCTGCGAGCGAAGCGAGTGGCATACCGAATTTACCGATTCTTGTGGATATTTATCTGATTCGAGATAATCTTCTGAATATGCAATCTATTGGTCAGCAGTAGCATACTAATGTTTCTAATATTCGATTTAAGAATATTTTTTATTTACCTGTTCAGAATGCAATTATTGTATATTAACCAGACACATTACATGTGCTCTCAAATTCTTTTCAAATTTACTGTAATTCAACGGCGCAAAAGTACGATGAGGGAGGGTAATTAGAGAACAA